CAACTATTAAGAGGCAATTTAAGTATTCCCCCACCCCCGTTGGTGTACAAATAAAGAATTAAAAATATGTTAAAGCGGTGTACAGGAAAATAAATTAAATTTAACTTTTATTCCAACATTTCAAAATTATATCATTATTTTGCTCTTTTTGTTTTTTTTTTTTTTTTTTTTTTTTTTTTTTTTTGCAAAACCGCAGATGACGTTGAAGACATCTACTTGATCGCCCCAGTTGCGGTTATGTAGAAAATATAGAAAGGTTTTTAAATGCAGAATAAAAATTTGTAGTTCTTAAATTATTTCTGCCCAAATCCAGCACAAATAATCTTTCACTTTTTATTTTCTTTACTAGTAAGTTGCAGCCCTTATTAGATTTTCAAGGAAAGTTCTCAGCGTATAAATAATATTTGTTACTTTGTTCAAAAAGCTCTATTTTAGAATAGACTTCAAAAATTTAATAGGACAGCCCCTCCACGTTCGTGTTTCGTTTTCTTCAGCAGTAACGGAAACAGAACGCTGAAATGCTTCTTTCCTAATGATGTTATCATGATCATAATTTAGTTGATGTTATTACCTTCTTATTAATATTATCATGATCATAATTTAGTTGATGTTATTACCTTCTTATTAATATTATCATGATCATAATTTAGTTGATATTCATAATTTTCATTCAAAAGTTTCGTCGAAATAAGAGAATAATAATAAAAGAAACATGTAGCTGTTGAAATTTCGGGGTGATTTCTTTGAATAATTTATCTAGAGTAAAATCTATTTTACTTCTCAATTTAATTCTTATGGCAATTCAGAATCTCATTATTCTTCGTCTGCTTTGATTAATCCCTATAAAAAATGCGCCGCCTTCAGAAATGCACCGCTAGGGGCGAACCGCACTCTCCGCTTCCCTCCAGTTACGTCACTAACTTGCGGAGCTGTATTTGATAAATATTTGCTCAAATTTGAACAGTAAGAACATAGTGAAGTTGTTTCTCCCGCCTTCTTAGCATGCCTTCGTGGTGTAGTGGTCAGCACACTGGAGGTCCGAGATTCGAGAGGTCCGAGATTCGAGTCCGAGCATTGCTCATTTTTCATCTCTCCCTGCTTCCAAATAATCTAAGGTCTCTACAGTGGCGTCCAAACTAAAAAGAGTGGTGGATGATGATTCTCCACCACCAGGATTGGGCGATTTGGGTCCCCTAATCCCCAGTCCCCCTTTAAAAGGGTGAGTATAGAAGGTATTTTTACCGCCTTCTTAGATGCCTTCGTAGTGTAGTGGTCAGCACGTTGAATGCGCATTTGAAAGGTCCGAGGTTCGAATCCCGGCGAGGACATTGCTCATTTTTCATCTCTCCTGTTTCGAAATAACCTAATGTTTCTACAAACGATAAATTATGGTGGAGTAAAATCCTTGAGTTATCCCGCAAATATTCATCCCGCTTTTTGAGAACTCTTTAACACAAAGCGATAAAACACTCAAAGAATATTCTATCTTTGGACAGTCTAACCAGCTGAAAATAATTTATGATGCACAGCACCACGAAACGAAGAAAACTGGCAGTATTGTTTTGATTAATTTTAACGTAGTCCTTTTTCTCTTGCTCCATTTTCCCAGTATTATTCATATTTTAAAAATTTTGCTTACTTTTTAAATAATATTAGCTGATAACGATCTTTTGATATAAAAAGGATATATACATGCTATTTTGTACTTTTATCGAAGAAGTTATTTATGCTATGGGAAAAAACTGAGAAATATTGGTAACCTCATTCGTGTTCCATCACGTACTCATTGTCACGCCACCGAAATGCCTGCAGAAAATAGATTTTCGCAGATCAACATCTTAAACATTTTCTGGCCGATAATTGAATTTTTTCCTCCTCAAATATTGCATGATGGCCTTTAAAAAAGTAGTCTTAGAATTCACACTTGCTAAACCGATTTTTTTATTCTTATTCTTATGAATTTCGCGTTTCACGAGGGAAATTAGATTTGCGTAAAAGGGAAATTACTTTTGGAGAAATACTTCGCACACTCCAAAAATAAGTAACTTTCTATCATGCGCAAAGAAAGTTTTACTTCATTTTCTATGGTATAAAATTTATTCAAATAAAAATAACTAATTAGATCTTTGCGCGAAAATTCTTCTTTCTAAGGTAGTCTGTCTAGTCTGTCTTATGATGTTATACTTAAGCTTCTTTTCTTAATAATATTAAATGGGAATTGTAAAAAGGAAATCTTAAATGAAATTTTATTTTACTTTTGTCGTTCCCATTGTGAGCTAGTTCTGGCTCATAAAGTTCTGATCTTCGAATTTTTCAGTTATGATTGGAAAAGTGAAAGTTTAACATTTGATTTAACGTCAGTATGTAGTGAAGAATATAATAACACAGTGCTAGCTTCGTATACGTCATGGAACCGTTCCAGATCTTTGATCGTATAGCAAACTGGACGAATACCAAACACATTTTCCAATAGGAAATAAAGGAAAATAATTAATTCGTTCTTTTAAAAAAGAAAACCGTATCGTTATTATTATATTAATGTTTAATACTGTTGCGAATTATTTATATATGAAAATAATTTTACTGAAATTATATGCAAATTGTAGCATCTCTTGTATAATGTAAGATAAAAGGCCTCAGGACACGAAGCACGGCCTGAAAAATAGGGCTACACTGGTAAGTACATTCAATATGGAGATAAATGGATTGGCGAGATAGCGCCAAATTGGAAATAGTTTTAAAAACTTATTTATGTCGCCAAATTTGGCGATAAATTGCCAAAAGTCGCCAAAATGGGAGACCATTTGGCGACATTTTGGTCCGATCTTTGTAACTGGTTTGATCTGTATGTAACTGTAATTGTGCACACCTTCATACATTCCAGCAATTTCGAGAAATCGAAGGTACTGGATTTTTCTTGGCTCAGACTATATAAGAAAGAGAACATCACTTCTGAGTGTAATTCAAAGTTGAGTTCAGAGTATTGACAGATCACTGTGCGAGCTTACACAGTTGAGGTATTACATTGTTTTGTGTTTAACGTTCTTGGTTGTTTGAAACGGTGACTATTGATTGTGATTGGTCATACTGAGAAGAGCTGCACAAGAACTTTTGGGAAAAGTTCCAGAAGTGTAAAGCGTTTCTTTTGGGAAAATAAATTTCACGAAACTATCATCGGTTCTGTATGCATTCAATCTATTATGAACTCCTACGCATTAACGACAGTAAAGTACAAAATCCAGTAGGGGAAATGTATATAAATCTATATAAATATATTTAAATAATATAAATATATATAAATGAAGCACTGCAATGATACTCGGCATAAATATGTTTTTGCTATCGGGATCAAAAACAATTTATTTTATAATCAATCCCCTCCTCCCAACGTTAGCCGACTTAATAGTGTCTTTGTTTTTCTCACACATCGTACTCGGCATATGGTATGCAACAACTGTGTTTCGAATACGTCTGGCATCTTCATAGTTTTCAGCGATCTTGTTATTAACCTCCATGGCGATCCTAACAATTTTCTTCGTTGCTTAGCTTTTCTCATTAGCTTTACTAAAACTCATTGTTAATGAATTTGGATAAAGAAACTTTACATGAAGAAATGCATGATCACTCTAAAAAGTCAGAGTTATAGCTCGAGTTGCTGACTGAATAATGACAAGAGGCGTAGTGATACTTATGGGTATGCATAAGTGTAGCTTTGTCTCGAAAGAGGTAAACAAGGGTAGTGCATGCAGAAAGGACTCATCGAGCTCGAGTAGTGTTCCCAACAAATATTTTCACGCCAAACAAGGTGTATTTCAAAGTTAACGTATACAGAAGTATAACTGTATATTTAAATATTACTATAAAAGTTCTTAAAGAGGAGTGAAAGAAAAGTAAATGTATAAGGAATTATTCTCCTGTGATTGTTTTCGTGATGTACCCAGTAACAACGTCCAACTGGCAACAGGAAGATCCCTGAGTCAAATTCCGACGAGGGCACAATTGTTGTTTCACTTCAAAGCAGGAACCTTCTGATCTATACTGGCTTTCGAATTAAACTGTGGTAACCATTAACTGTTCAATAACTGAATAGTGGTTGATTGTGCCTCTCGTATCTCTGCCCAATCTCTCGCTAAGTAGAGGTAAAAATAAGGAATGTCCATTTTCTCTGAAGTTCATTTGTGGCAAAAGTGGTGATTGGTTGATGGCATTACTTACTGGTTGATGGCAGAAGTGAATTAAAAGATCCGTTATTGGGTTCCTGGCGAGGGCACAACAAACATTCTTGTTTCTTACTTCGTGAAAACCTTATAGTTTCAATGGTAGTGATGGACTAAAATGTGTTGGACAATAACTAGTCAATACTTGGATTTAGCTGACAGTGTCTCGTCTTGTGCCCTTCTTCAGTTACCCTTAAAGTGAAGGAGAATATAAGGCAATAACTAGTGAATACTTGGTCAGTACTTGGATTTTGCTGACAGTGTCTTGTCTTGTGCCCATTTTCAGTTACCCTTAAATTGAAGGAGAATATAAGGCAATAACTAGGCAATAATATAAAGCCAATAACTAGTCAACACTTGGTCAGTACTTAGATTTTGCTGACTGTGTCTTGTCTTGTGCCCATCTTCAGTTACCCTTATACTGAAGGAGAATATAAGGCAATAACTAGTCAATAATATAAAGCCAATAACTAGTCAACACTTGGTCAGTACTTAGATTTTGCTGACAGTGTCTTGTCTTGTGCCCATCTTCAGTTACCCTTAAATTGAAGGAGAATATAAGGCAATAACTAGTCAATAATATAAAGCCAATAACTAGTCAACACTTGGTCAGTACTTGGATTTTGCTGACCGTGCCCATCTTCAGTTACCCTTAACTTGAAAAAGATATATCAGCGATACTAGTACATAGGTTGTTTTATGTTTTCTGCTGAGTGAAATCTCTGAGGTCTGTATTTCAATGTAGTACTCAGAAACCTACAAAGTTAACATAATGTTGCTTCCGTACGGGTTCGTAATAGATTGAATGGAAAAGTCCGATAATAGGTTAATAAAGTTTATTCTTATCAAAAGAAATATATCAGTATTCTGGAATTTTTGTAAACGTGCAGAGACATTAGGTTGTTTTGAAGGAGAAGGCATCAAAAATGAGCAATTCCGTCACCGGGACTCGACCCACGGTCCTCTCGAATACGCGCCAAGCGTGCTGACTACTACACCACGAAGGCATGTTAAGAAGGCGGGAGGAATACCTCATAATCTAATGAAAAAAATGCACAGTTATGACCTGAAAATTTAGGTCTCTTTTTTTATTAAATGAGTGCAGAAGTCTCTACGAGGAGTTAATTTTACCCGAAGTAATATCAAAATAAACTTTGTTCTATCAGTTGCATTTGCTATTTTTAGCAGCCTATTTTAAATATAAGATTTCATATTCTGAATTTTTAATTTCTGGGGAAATAGTTTTTAATTAGTAAGTAATTAATTTCTGGGAAAATAGTTTAATTAGTAACTGCTTGGTTTAAAACTCCTTCAGATGTTACTCTGAAATCCACATGCGATACACATAAGGTAAAATGGGGCTCATGTTTCTTTTTAATTTTATAAATACTTTTCATAGTGTTTTTTAGAGCTTTAACAGTAACTATTTTACTGTTATTTAAAGTTTTCAGACTAAAATTGTTGTTTTAGTTTCGGTGCACATTTCTTGCAATAACATATAACTTAATACGTTAAGATAAACATAAGAATAAGTTCCATCGTGGAAATATTGTTCGACCGAGGAATTTACAATCACCATGTGTGTAATGAGGTAAGATAGGAGCATTAAACTAATAGTAAATTCTACAAATTTTATTACATATATCAATATACGTAACAGACAAAGTGATATTAGATTCTATTACTTACACAAACACTATAAAATACATTTTATGTACAATAATCTATACAGTTTCTCAAAATTTATATATGTGAGACATCATTAGACTCTCCATTCTCTGGTATCGACACTCCTTCTGCCTCTGAGGAGGGACACCACGAGTCCGGAAGCTAAGATGCCTGCAATCCCACTGCCTCCACCTCCGTGGTGGTTTCCTCCAGCTTCTGTGCCTGGAATCATGACTGTGGTCATGAGGGCAAGGGTCAAGGCTAAGACCATAAGGAATCGTCCGGCGAAGCACTTCATTTTAAATACCTGAAAATAAAATGTAATGGAATTATAATAAATTATTAATCGTTAGATTGCTTAAGACAATGAACACGCTAATTGCCAAAATGGCTCATCTGAAGCCAAATTCTAGAAAGATGACTTTTAGTTTGGTTAACATCAAAGAATGCTTTTAGCTTTTTGAGCGATTGATTAACATAAAAGTCAAAAAGCATGTTTTGAGCAATAGCTGCATCTCGACAATAACGATTTTGGCATGAATCTTGCCCATTTGTTCTGTCTCGTTACGGAGTGGGAATGAAAGGCTGCATCTGGCTGAACCGATCTGACAGAAACTGTTGAACCTAGATGAGAAGTTTTGTCGCATCCGCTTCATAACCCAGATCTTAAGTTAACAAATTCCAGCGTTTTCCAGTCATTAATCAATGGTGTGGAGGGACAGGGTTTCGTCAATGGAATCGAGATGGGGTGGTAAACTTTTGTACGACACCCTCATTTCTACTTAGAGGGATCATAGATCCGCCTCAATGTCGATAGTAGGTGGTCGACGAGGAATGACGCTTTCTTTTTGTAAAAACCAACTTTTAGTTTTGTAAAAAATTAACGTATGTCTTGAAAAGTATCCTTTATTTTAATATAACTACTTACTATTTAATACAAAACACTTTTTTGTAGCTTTACTTTAAGTGTCCAGGGTTTTGAAAGCAAAAAAACATATAAGCAATTATATATAAATATGAATATGATATACACTCGTTTACGAGACGCAGTGGATGTAAAATCGACCTGGAACGAATGATTATAATTGTAACAATTCTTTGATAAATTAGTGCAGAAATTTCTTTATATGTACGTTTGAATTATCATGGGATATAAAATAATGATTTTGGTTTAAACATTTTTTGTAATTTCTGTGAGTGTAATCTGCATCTATTGAATATTTCTCTGATCGTAAGTTATAATCAATTTGAATACTTCATTTTTTTATATGTGATTAATTAGATAACCTTCAGACGACAAATACTTTCACAAGTTTTTTCTAATGTGTTTTAAATTGCTTTAAATAATTTATAGCTTAGAATTACTTATTTCGTTTCTCAACATATTATACTGCAAAACTGTTTGCGTAGAAGACATTGTAAATGACATACATTTGGGACGCTTATAAAAAATGTACTTTTAATTAATTCCTTTGCGTTTATTTAGCATAAGTTATAATTAGCATATAATTGCTTAAATGAATTGGATAAAAAATTGTTTGCGTTATATTGTTTCTTCTACTCTAGCTAAATTTATAATGCTGTAAGCAGCTTTAGGTTTTTTAAGCTGAAAACTATTTTAAATGAAAAATATTTATCACATTTATGAGTCTACTAATAAATATTTGATTTATTTTCGGAAATCCTTAATATAAAAGACAAATTTCTATGAAATTACAAGCGACTGTAGTTTCTTTTTATTTCAGTTTTATTTTGTGCTTTTTTTTATCTCTTGTATTACCCAACGGGGAAGTAAATTGAAAATTTAATCTCCACATTAAGTTTTTTATAAATTTTATTTCAAAATTCATTTAAAGTTCTTATTTGTCAGAAGCAAGAGCACCTACGCAGAAAGAATTTACTAAAAATAAAAAATATTTTAAAGCATGACATTTTTTGTTTAGAAGGAGGGGAAATTTATTTCACTTCTTGGACACCCACATCGATCCAAAATAATCCTATTAAAGGTGCATTCCTTTATATTTTTTACTTTTGCTTTGAACTTTTACATAGTGAGTTAGTCATGCGTTTAAGGTAGCTAACTTAATCTTTCTGTTTTTAACGAAATCTCTTTTACAGAAACTGCAAAAATTGATAGAAGCATTAGAAAATATTTATAAGGAACAAAGAAAGGGAATTTTCAAGTGTGAAAAGTTATTAATGAAGAAGAAATCTTAAAAATAATATTAATTGCATAGTGATAACATTTTCGACATTGCTCCTTATCCTTAATATTATGATTTTACTTACATTATTTTTATAATATCAAGGGATGTAGCTAAATTTTTATTGATTTACATTCCATCACAGCAAACTCTGAAGGAATTTGAGTTAAAATAATGAGCTCATATACAAGCAGCCTCTTATTTTAGGAGATTATAAATATTCTGCTGTCACTCTTTTCTTCCAATCGATTAGCTAAAAAACGTATTTTGTTTTCGTATTGCGCATCTTTCGGGTAATTTTCCCTTCTGTTGATAAAATTCGCAGCTCCATACTTAAGGATCTCATTCCGGATACGAATACATGAAGTAAATACAGGATTACTTGCCAGTGTAGTTTAATTTACATTGGTCAAACTGAGACAACCTTAAAATGTCGCTCTGAGGAACGTGAGGCATATGTTAGGAAAAACGAAACGCATAAATCCTCTGTTACCCACCACTGTTGGTTGTAAAATCACATTTTATATTTATTAAAATTATTAAAAAATGTCTTAAGTTGCAGAATTATATTTTCTAGAGTCGTTTCACATTTATAAACCTTTCGGTTCTAGTTAACGATCCCAGTTCCAATCCGTCTTTGCATATCCGACTTTTAAGTAAATTATTTCATAATTGTATGGATTTTTCATTAATAGATTGCGACATAAACTTGACTTCCTTTTTTTCATTCTTATCACCTTGTCATATCTAATCATCTGCTTCCCTTTCATCGTTTTTACTTCTACAGCTGAAGAAAATAGTTACATATTTAAACTTTCGAAACTAGACCCGCAGATTTATGAGTATTACTCTACGTCTTTTTAAGTTCTCCAATAATCTAACGAAATGTTTTTCAACAAGAACCTTACAAATTAATTATCTCAGAAAATACAAAGTTAAGCACAATCCTTGTCATTTGTAGAGGGTTTTTGATATGACCGATCAACAAGTTCGAAAGATGGTTTAAGACATTGGCCTCAGACTGGCGGCCCGCGGACGGCACGTGGCCCCTGAAGCAATTTTAATTACTGTTATTATGGAATTACTTATTATGAGGAAAACTTCAAAAGAGTTTTTTAATTTTAATGATTTGAAGTCCAGTTTTACATTATTTTCATTACCATTGGAAGTGAACACGAGCCGCAGAAAAATCTATAAGCAAAGCAAATTAATTTACACCGTGTTATAAATCTTATTCAAAGATATGATGATACAGATTTGATTGATTTTCTCGTACTTCTCGAATGATAAATATCTTCCTTTTTACTACCCTAAGAAATTTTGGAATATGAGTAATCTCTTTGTTCGGAAGCACATCTAAAAGTGAGCAGTTTTTCCCCTGAATTTAAAATAAATCTTAAAAAAGAGAGAACCAGATTGACCGATGGCCTTCTGCACTTTATGAAGATAGTTTTTATCTCAGTAAATTCTATTCAAGATTACACAATTTATCAAGATCAAAATGCGATGAGATGTTGTAGTAAGAAATAAATATGTTTTATAATAGTTTATGTAGATATATATGTATTTTCTCTGTATGAGTCGGAGAACAATTTAATAAATAAAAGGGAGAAGAAATTTGTCATTATTTATTCTCAAGTTTTTATTACTTGCAAAGTTTTCGTAATTTGTTTCTTTCTATTTTAATCTAAAAGTCAGTTATTTAGTAGTATATTTAACATATTAGAATTATTTGAAATAAATGCCTGAAAATGTAATATTTAGCTATGAATGCGTTTGAATTACAACATATAACCGTCAGAAATTGCCGCCCAGTCGGTATGGTGTTTAGGGAAGCTGACTGCGATGCCGAAGAGCCTGGGTTCGAATCCCGGAGAAGGCATCGTTGTAACTGTCCGTTATTTCATAGGAAAGGCGATGGTGGCCCACCTATTAGGTGCCTCCATAATAAAGAGACCACCACATCCGGCCTTGTATAGATTAATGGACTGGGTTACATTTGTAAAAAAAAAAAAAAATCAGTAATTCGTTGCAGGTACCAAGCAACCTCTAGATTTCAGAATGAAAATAAATGTTAATTAGAATTTTTAACTTTGCGTCATTATTATTATTGCCAATGTATGTTTTAATAAATATTTAGTAAATAAAATTTAAAATTTAGTTTTGTTAAAAATTTTTGCTTAGTTAAAAAAAATCATTTTGCATTAAAATTTTTTTTGCTGCTCTTATATCGTGTATTCGGCAGCATGCAAGTAGTTTGAGAACACTAGTCTAAGATGCACTTACTCTCAAATGGAATATTAAATTCTTAATATCAGTTTCCTAAAATGTAGACTATTCATTTAGTTGAATTCTTAATATCAGTCGCTTAAAACATGGATTATATTTACATAGTTAAACATGAGAATTTATAATGGAAATGGTTCTGCACCCCTTTGATCAATTAACGCATATTATATTTTCTTAAATATGAAAGGTAGTATTGCGATAATCTCGTTTGAAACTGGATTCCTTCATCGAATGAAAAATATTTTCTCTATTTCGCAACGTTGTTTCGATGTAATCATATATCCGCAAATCGTTTCCTTTAGCAATTAAGCTCCCACAGCCCCCTAGTCGCTCATCTTACTCGAGATCGTCTCAGAAAGTAATTAATTGGATATTCAGTTCATCATCTTCGGCTCTCTTATCCTTTAACACTCCAGCTTCCACTCTTTCCCATTGGCGCTGAAGAAACATAACAACCCCTGGTGCCGTCTGGAACCAAATGTGCAGACGTTGACGTAGTTAGCACTTTCACTTTAATTCTTACTAATTAATGGGCAAGAGAAGACAAAGTAAAATAAAATTGAGGGAAGCAAGGCATTAAAAAAGGATTTCAAGTCCCCCCTAGATTTATCTGTCGGTACCAAATGCGAAATAAATAAGGTTCAGCAGTTTGAGAATGCATTTTTTTCGGGGACATACAGATAACGATGCTTAGTACCAATATGAAATTGTTTAAATTTCTGAAACGGTTCGATTTGGCTTATCTGACTATGGAAATGAATGCCAGGGCTACCTGCATAAGAGGAAGGATGCATTCGTAGAGAAATTTCTTCGGGAACAGGCTTGTATAGGTCGAAACACAAAAACGCCTACGCAGCTGGCCAGTTCGTATGTAATTGAAACCATGTCGAACTATCAATGTTCAGTGACTTTACCGCTCGGCCGCTGATGGATAAAATTTAAAAAAAAAAATTAACTTTTTTTAAACTTGCCAAATGATGTTGTTTTAGGAATTTCACATATTGCTCTGATGTTAGTTTTTTATATATTAATTATTGTTATTAGTGTAATTTGAGAATTTTTTTACGTTTACAATAACATACGTTTCTAAAAGATTCACAGTTAAATAAATACATAACGTAACCCAAACACTTTCACGCTTGTGGTTAAGGGAAGACAGAGTTCAGAAAATGGTAAATGTCAACAGTAAGAAAATGTTTAAAAAAGAAAACGATTTTTAGAAAAACAGTAACTCACAAAATATATAAAGATAAACAATGTCTTGGAGATGTGAAAAAGAAAGTTTTTTTTTTTTTTTTTTTTTTTTTTTTTTTTTTTTTTAGAAAAACAGTAACTGACAACACAGAATGTAAGGATAAACAACGTTGCGACTATGTTGAAGTGGGTAGACATTAGAGAATAAGTGGAGCAATAGAACAGGGGTTCTGTGGATATGTTGCCTTTTGGATTTTGGCTTTTATATGATTGGTAGTTTTTCTTTCTTTTTATAATAATAATGAAATTTGTGTGCATTTTAGCAATAAAATTTTCTTTCATAATACCAACAAAAAATATCTTCAGTATAGTGTTAGTTTTAAAGGGGAAGAATTAAATTTTTAAGAATCTAACCACACTTTCATTTATGGCGTCTTGGTTGTAATAGCCTAAAACCAAATTTAAATCTCAGTATTTCGTTTCTAATAGACGTTATAAAACTTCATAACTATATTGCAATAGATAATCAATGCAGGAATAATCAACTGTTGATTTTCGACAAATCGAATCCAGAGGGTTTTTTTTTTTTTTTTTTTTTTTTTTGCAAGTGTACACTAGTTGACGGTTTGTTTTGCAATAATGAGATTTTCGGCCATTCAGTTTTCAATAATCCTCTCTTTCGCCTGTTTATGTTATAACCTTTGCCTCAAACAGGACAAGCCCGCCAACGGGCGAGCGTTAAAATCGCTGAACACCGGTAGCTCCGACATGGGTTCGATTCCCATACGAGCGGGTTGGCTCCATGAGCGTTTTCGTGGTTTTCCCCACGTGTCAAGTTCATACGAACCAGTTTTGCTTCGAAAGTCCTCAATGAAGGCATTTTCTTGCTTCATTTGATTATGGCAAAGCACTCGAGGTATATCTTCCAAAAAGGGGATGCCCTTGCGGGGGACTTTTTAAGGGAAACTGGCTGGTATACACTTTACATATGTGAAAAGCTTCGAAAACGCCCATGCAAGCAGCCCGTCCTTGGGGTTCGAGCCTCAGACCGAACTATCTGTGTTCAGTGACTTTTACCGCTTGGCCGCTGTTAGGCTCAAACGCATGTACACGTAACATAAAAAATAAGGATATTAAAATTATAACTTATATTTGAAAGTTATGATACTCAACTCTTCATTTTAATTTGGTTATTCCCGTCTTCTGTTCTAAAAAAAGCAACTGCTTATAAGAAATTTCTCTGAACTCTCGTTTACAGATTAATCCATATTAAGTGACGTTTAAGAATTTTGCGAAACAGCCAGTAATAGTTTTTTACTCTTATCAGCCAGTAATACTTCAGTAAAACAGCCAGTAATAATTTTAGAGCCCTTAATATTTTTGAGCCTTTAGCCATTCAAAATGGAAAGTAACCCGATCAGAATTAAGACTTTGTCCTGAACACATTACAGTTCGCTTCTGCTTCTCGACTGCTGCTGCTACTTTTTTGACTGCTGCTGCTATGTTCTTACCACAAAGGTATCCACAATTTAAATGCTCTGAAGGAAGCTCGATTAATGTGCCAGGTTATTTGCGGCTGCCGCACAACTATTCCTGCAACAGTTGATTATTCCTGCAATTATTAAATCAAAGTAAAAGTTAATTTTTTAAATATGCCACAACTGCAGCTTATTGCGTTTACAAGACTATATTAATTTTCTTCTTTATGAATCAACATCTATACACTCAAACTTTCTATATTATTGCCCACACACATATACATATATATTACCAAAAAGAACTTTAAAAATAAGACTTAAAAAAAAAACTTACAGTTGTATTGATCGAAGATAGAATTCGCTATTTCTTCGTCTGAAGGAGACTCGAATGATGACTCCAGAAAAACGAAATGGCTTTATATACTGATTTCCAAAACCTTTTCTGACATACTTGAAAATATGAAAAGATATTTTCCTTGTTGCGTAACATGTTCCCTATCACCCTAAAATTTCCTTTCCCAGCGTTTAATCCTGCATCGTTTCCCTGTCGTCTGTGTCACAGGTCTGTGATTCTTCCTCGCGTGGACTTGTCGCAAATAACCATTTCCTTCCTCTTTGTTGGAATGAACATTATGGCAACCACAACTCTATGAGCAAAGCTCAAAGCAAATTCACAGGAAGTTAACTTATGAAAAGCTTATACAATGTATTTAAAATGGTCGATGATAAGATAATGTGAAGAAAAAGAATGTTCCGGAAAATAGCTTTTGAGGAAAAGTAAATAGGACAGGAAATTGGATTTGCATTTCCATCGATTAGTTTAATTAAATGTTAAAAAATAACCTTTTTGATCATTTTGCTCAGTGTAGCTTAACCTCTGAAAGTATTTATTTTTTTTTTATTTATTAAAATATGGTTTCTGTTTTTACCTTTTTAAATTTGGTATATCTGATTAAACCGAGGATTAACTTCCGAAATTAAACTGAAATAACATTTTACAAATCTTCTTTTGACATTCTTATGTTTTTTTAAACTTTCTTCATTTCATGCTCAAATTAAGTGGATTTGCTCAAAATAAGAAGCTTTCTATTTACATTGCATGACATATGAATGGAACAGATTAAGAAACGGGAACAAAACCTTAAATTAGATTGGTAAATATAGGGTGACGCTATTTCATTACATTTTTATGATAATTTAGATTTTAAAAATCAAGAAGCTAACTTCATCTTTTAGGAGACTAAAAGCCTACTTCATTGCATTGTTTCTTACGAACAAGGCCGTCTAAAAAACATTAAAATTGCAGGTGTTAGATAATATTTTTTATGTTTATATTAATTTTGCCTTTACGTTACTGACAAAGTATTAAACGTTGGCTTCTGTAGAATACCTAGGCATTTTATACAATGCCTGGCGTTTTTAAGCAGAGTATGAAATATGAGAATTATTATATATGTTATAGTTCCACCGCGACCATGAGCGAAAACACGCATGCGCCATTCGGAAAGAATTATTCTCAAAATAGGGTGGAAGGATGGGGACTTTCTTTCCCTCCAGCATAGTTCTTCCGGAGAAGAGACCTTTCACGTCGCAGCAAGTAATACAGTCCCTTTTGGACGAGTCTATGTGTTTTGGCAGAATGCCAACCAGGGTTGCGCTTCAGACGGTCGAACTATACCGGCAAAGTATAAAATCCGGCATTCTATAGAATGCCTAAAACTAGCCGGCAATGTACGAAACGATTAATATTTCACACATTTTCCTGGCATTCTATAGAATGCCAAATGACAAACCGGCAAAGTATAAAATACAATTCCGATTCGTTTCGAAGAACCGAAACTACTTACCAGAAGTTTATAAATGATGTAAAAAGGCCTAAATGACTACTAAGAAGGAACCACGGTACTACTGGCTGCTTAAACGCTAGGATGTGATGTTTGTGGGAAACAAAAGCACCCTGTTAAAGAGAGCGTTGGTACTATACAGTATTACGTCACGGACGCTGAGTTATTTTCCGTATTTCATGAAAATTCATTTGAGTACTGGACACGGACGTGACAGAATTTCGAAAGAACGTTCAACGAATTAAAAAACGTTACACGTAATGACATTGAACTGTAACTTTTATGACCCTTGCCAGAAAAAAACCAAAGGGTATTAAAAAGGACCACTGATGTGAAACTTATGATTATTTCTGGATTTAACTTCTGTTGTCAGGTAAATCTTACCAATTCCCAGTCTCGGCCAGATAGAAAATACAAATTTATTACGCTCTATCAAGATCATCTCACTATCTTTTTTTTTACATATTTCGAAGAACAGCTTTTTAATGGCACTCTTTCATAAAAAAATTTGTATTTTAGAGGAATGAACGTCTTTTAAATAACAGCCTTATCATAACCTTTTTTTTTCATACTTTGCCTAAAGAGCATTTGTCATTCTATAGAATGCCTAAGCATTATATACAATGCATAGGTAAAGTATGTAATAATTCTCTTATTTCATACTTTGCCTAAAATCGTCCGGCATTCTATACAATGCCTTCTATAGAATGCCGGGGTTTCAATACTTTGCCGATAACATATACTTTATCTAGGCACTGTGTAAGTGGAATGTCATTTTTCGTGACCGACAGATGGCGTTGCACGCTGTTTGATAGAACTGTTTTTGTGAAATAAACGCAGACGATGGCGCCATAAAAACAACAACAAAAAGAAGATAAAGGACATATAAAGATGATATAAAGATGAAAGTCTTTCTTATACGAAGTAAAGTATTATAATCCTCAAAAAATTCGGATACCATGTTTCAACGAAAATATCCATTTCAACCGTTCTCGAAACCATTTAAGCAATATTTTTGCTTGACATCCGTACGTACCGATAGAATAAAGGACTTTGCCAAAAAGGACTGTAAAACGGATTCAGAAGAGGTTTTTTTCATGACGTCTGTCCATACGTACATACATATGTATAGAGGCTCACAAAAGTGTTCGTACGCTTAACGAGATTCAGTGAAATATTGCTTTATTCAGTAATAAAAATGGTACTATTCCGTTTTGAGGACCGTAAATATCGCCAACCTATTGTTGATGCCAGTGCTGCTAAAAATGATTGCGGCAACCCTAACGCAAGAAAGGAAGTATAATAGTAAGTAACTATCTAAGATTTTATTGTTTTAATTTAAATGAAAGCATAATTTCATATAATACTTTTTTATTATAATAATTTATATAAAAAAGGCTAAACATAGCTGAATGGAAGCATAAGAGTAAATAACAATTTCAGATCATTATTATAATTTATATAAAAAAAGACTAAACATACTTGAATGGTTTTCTGCATTGCTATTTCGCTACCGAGTTATCGCTAAAGCATAATTTCATCTCTTGGTTGTTCAAACATAATTTTCTGTAATAAATGATGCCTTTTCTTTGAAAAATTCTATTGTAGACTTTTCATCATGGGCAATTCCAAAATTGTTAAGTCCATAGGATATCAAAAAAACGATTTAAAATCAAAAAAGGATTTAAAAATTAAACTAGTATTTCAATGGCGTCTTACAAAGTAAATCTTAAACACTTATTTCCTCGAAAAAATTCCAGAAAGTATTAAGCATAATTTAATTCACAATAATAATTGAAGGCGTTATTTTTGTTGTTGCCAAACTTAGTGTCTCTAGATTGGCAACAAATCTACAATTCTGCTGTTTTAAATGTAAACAAATATGTCCGCCATGTTATTTAAAACTTAACCGCACTTAAACAGCTTTTAAATTGTTGATGATTGTACAAATATTGCTTCCAGGATTACTAAAGGCATAAAAACCTTAACCGGAAGATAAGAACAACAAGATTCAATCATTTTTAAAGCAAAAAAATGTACAATTTACATAATTCATATAAGAGTAAAGAAACTGAGATCACTAAGCCGGGTAACAGAGTGGATATATATATATATATAAATATATTTATATACGTTTGGTGCGGCCGATTGAAACCAAAATTCGAGGTGCACATCTACATGTTATAGCAGTCCTATATACAAAATTTCAACGTTCTGAGGCTACTCGTTTTTGAGTTATGCGAGATACGTACGCACGCACGTATGTACATACATTCGTACAGACGCCACGAAAAATTCTCATCAGAATTCATTTTAAAGCAGTTTTACAATTTTTTTGAAGGAAAAGAGTATTTTATTCTTTCCTTACGTACAGATATCATGCAAAAACATCGTTAAATTGCATTCGATAGAATGGATATTTTCGTTGAAATATGCTGCCTGAAACTTTTCGCGATTACAATACTTCCTTTTTACTTCGTACAAGGAAGTAAAATGTAACAGAAAAGTTACCTCACAGAAGTCTTCGTACGCTTTTTAGAGAAATCTGCATATAGTATTAGTAAATGTTGTAATATTTCTATCAGTTAGTATTTTGTACTATATCCTGCAGTTCTTTATGACAGCTTTCAAACATCTGGGCATAGAATTCACCAGTTCTTTTGTAATATTTGTATCAATGTTTCTTCGTTCTTGCATCATTACTGTTTTTAGTCCGGTTTTCATTTTAATGCTGTTTCTTCGTACTCTAACCTCTAATTCTCTCGAAATGTATTCTGTTGGGCTTAAATCTGTTTCAGAACTTGTGGACAATTATAGACATTCAAAAGGCGAAAGTTGAGGGCCGTGTGCTTAGGAGCACACGATAAAAAATAAAGTTGTTTCCAGTATCCAAATTTTGAGCGGACATTTTAAAATTATGTTTTAAAATATTTAAATAGGGAGCTTGGTTGATTGTGCCATCAATAAATAATAAATTATTTAATGCTGACGCTGACATTCACCCTTACACTAGAACACATCCTCCGCCATACTTTACTTTTCCAACCAAGGTCTTGGGATTAAGCTCCTTAGTTTTTTTCCTCTGTACAATTATACGCCTATAGGAACCAAAAATGTTAAATTTGCTTTCACCTTCAAATAAGATATGATTCCAAAACATTTCAGGCGTATTTACCATGGAGTTTGAGAAGAAAAGCCTAAGCTTTCTATTTTTCGCACTTCCAAAAAGTTTCTTCGAGCAGGGCGCCCATGTTATCCAGCTGATCTGAGCATCTGTCGAACAATTTTAAGTGAAATTGAAGTAGAAAAAGTTTCAGTAAATTCGTTAGAAATCTTTATAATACTCCAACTTGGATTTCTTATAGATTTTCTAATATAAATCTCTGATCACGTTGAGGACAGCCCTATTGATGGACATGTTTGTTTAGAAGCATTGAGAGGCCTTCCAGTTTGGTAAAATCAGGAATTGTAAATGAAACCATAATTTCTGAAACTGTTACTCCTATTGTATTTATGGTATTAAAATATAATTCATCAGTATAGAAATTATTATCATAAATATTTATGCGCATTACATTTAATTATAAGTAAAGATTATGTAAAAGTTTTATTTTGTGATATTCTGTGATAACAAGAACCTTACCTGAAAAATTATGATTATGTGACCTCTCAAACAAAAGACTTTTGGGCTGAAATGCTGAAAAGTTAAATAGGACTCTAAAATTAAAAATTTATTAAAAAAATATATTTTAAATATACTTTACACAGGATCAAAATTTTATGATTTATGGTTTTTTTTTTTTTCTTTTTTTTTTTCATTTGATAGTGCTTTAACGCTTTTTCTTTAAAAAGGTTTTTCTGTCGCCACGCAGAAAAATAAAGAATATGTAAAAGATTAAATTAGCAGCATAAATTAATTTCTCTTCTCTATTCTAAAATAGCAACATCTATTTGCACTGCGTCATTTCGAGAAAAATCTATGTCATATGACTCTTACGTATTTCTGGTGACGTAAATTGACCTAAAACTCAAGCAGCCAATAATAATTTTGCAGCAATATTAACTATCCTATCAAAATGCTTTGAGAACAAAACTAACTCATTTCACCTAAGATTTCATCCTGAACATTACGCACTTCTGGAGTTCGAATCCCAGCGAGAAAACTGAGGATTTGTTTCAGATTTCCGACATCGAAAAATTCTAAACGACTCTGCAAAATGAAATCAAATGTATTATAAAAGGTAAAACATTACAGCAGAACTCAAAATTATCGGAATAAATGGAATCAAAGCTTATCTGGATCCATGTAAATTGTGAATCTCAGTTGACGTTAACCCTGATATAAGATTAACAGAAGGTAAACTATTTGACTATTTCCAGTATACTCTAGGCTGTATGGAAAGACTAATCTGTTTAGTCTGCACTTAAGAAGAGTTAATAAGAAATGATTCACCGAAAGTGCAAAAGAAATTAGCCTGTATGCACTATGAAGTTGTTTTGCCTTAATGCTAATTTTAAATACGCTGCATTTATGTCAAACACTTCACTTAATCATATGTATTACTTTAAATAAATATAATATTGTTACGTTTTTCTTTTCTGTCACCAGTTGTTAAGTTATTTTCTTCCTTCATTTTCGTACGGATTTGGAGTGAATAACGACGACGTTTGATGAAGTATCGAAACACACTTCATTTAGCCAGTATTAATCAGGACAGTTTCAAAGTCACGTTTTACAGTCGTCGAAGATCTACTATATACACTCGCTGGAACAATCAGCGACACAGCCTTCAGGTTATCAGGCTATCACAACAGCTTCACTGCAAAGCACCAGAGTACAGCTCCCGACTCTGCTCGGTCGTTCTCAGAACTCCACGTACTCTCGAGACTCTCCACGCTACAACTCGCTATGCACTCAATGATACACTAGAGTATAGCTCTCGACTCGGCACAGTCTAAGACAAAACTCAACGATGCACTAATTCGCGACGCACTAAAAGACTCTCTCGATGCACTCGACGACCAACTCGGCGCTAGACTTCGAGACACTCGCTCAATGACTGACTATCAGCTCGCTAGACGAGACAAACTCACTATCTGACTGCGAAACCAGCAGGGTTTATATAGCTTTCGGCTTGTGTTCGAGAACATTCTGGGCTAAACCGGTAAGAATTCTGGGCTAAACAAATAAGAAGGTTCTCCATCCGTCCATGGTATATCGTCAATTTTATCGCCAAATGGACGATTTTTCACCAAATGTGGCAACTTTGCTTTTCCTTTCCATTTTATGGCAACCCTAAAACTGCTTTGTGGAGAAGCCATCTCACCGCGCCTGTACATTTGGTAACAATATGTTTTTAAAATTATGTATTGCATAATTACTGAATTATTATATCGCTATATAATTAGGGCGTATAAATGAATCAATTAACAACAAATTATCTTAACTTTTCTTTGAAAAAAGAACAAACGATTTGAATTTTCTAAAATTCTGGATGCGTTTAATCCGGATAATCTGAAGTTCTCGTGTGTTCATAAGTAAAGTATATGCAATTTACTTACTAATGTTCTGTTCATAAAGCTCCTGAGCATACAAAATGCTCAGCAGATGTGAAGGTTTCGTTTCATAATTAGTGCGTAATTTATTTATGTGTATTAATTACGCAAAAGGGCAAAATTCATTGGAACATAAGGTTAAACTTTATTGAACACAATATTCAGTAGAAAAACGTACATAAATGTAAATTAATATAAGATCTAGCACGTAGGTAGTAACTAAACATTAAAATTATATCTACATTTCCCATTCGACGTCTTATTTGCTTAAAATTTAATAACAATTTAGAAAACTTTTATTTACATATTAGTGCAATATTTTAAAAACAGTTTATTCTTTGTATACATTTATTGAAAAATTAAGTTATTATTTTACTTTGGCAACGTGATTCTTTCATACACATTTCCCTATTTCTTTGTGATCATTTCCAGTTCAGTGTTTAATAGTCCAGCTAGAACACGGAGGAGGAACGTTTTAAAAAATGTGCGTATATGGAACCATTTTCCGTATATGGAATGGTGCGATGGAACCATTTTCCAGTCATTTCCAGGTTACATCAGGATTGTGTTTCCACCGTTCTGAGTTATCAGTCCAACTGTGCACTGAAAGAAAAGTAATATTTACTGGATATTAGAGAATGATAATATTTAAAAAAGGAAAGATAAAAAGTGCTTTGCCATAGTTATTATAAAATATAAAATATTATTGTCAAATCAATATTATTAGCAAGCGTCCTTTGTTTGTAATAATAATGTCCTCAAAATTCATTGAAATACAAGTTTCGAAAGCACTGAAATTTTTATTCAAAACAAATCCACGAATTCCGTAAAGACTCAGTTTGATATTTGAGATATTTTCCCTTTTCTATCCTATTTTAGGTCATCTTTACCGAGCACATACTAACAAACAGTTATGATATCTGTTGGTATGTGTCGGACGTAAGATCCTTAATTTATATTTCAAATTATAACTATGTATTGCTTAACAAATGTCTTATTAAATCTTACCTTTATTTTAATTGTATTATAAACGTCTGCTTTAAAGTTGTTTCAAAGTTTTCGCATCGATATTATACGTTACGTTATATTACCCATCCATCCTTAGTCATTCGGGCTACTTTGCAAAAGTTCATTGCAAAACAACAAGCAAATATTTACGTGGGCCAAGTAAGCAATAAGTGATTGGCCATATTCAGGTGACTATAGCGTAACCATTAATTTATCAGCTCGCTAGACGAGACAAACTCACTATCTGACTGCGAAACCAGCAGGGTTTATATAGCTATATATTTAGTTTATATAGTTTATATAGGGAAAAAAAAAAAAAGAAAAGAAAAAAAGAAAGAAGACAGCTCTGTATTTTCCGTTCTACTGGGGGTAGATTGACGAAATTCAACTTGCGTCTTTTATGTCTCGAAAGCACGACTTGGGATATGTATTAGATTTATATATACCATTGTTCTAGTATAGGTATTTTGACACAAAATTGGACTTTTTCTGAAATAACATACCATTTTTTTTCTATATTTCGATTCTACGACTCGAATTACGCCAAACTACCAAGTTTTGTAATAATCGCACGAGTAGTCTTTGAAAATTAGCTCTCGAAATTTTAGCTCCTGAATGTTAATTGAGTTTGATATATATTTATCAATCTCTCTTTTTTTTATTAAACTTATTTGATTCTTCCTTTCCCATTTCGAAACTCAAGTTCATTCCAAATAAAATACCCATTTTTTATGATTTATTTTTAATTAATTTTTTTTAATTTTTCAAAAAAATGATTTATAATCTATCACATTTTTACAATCATCTTAAAGTAGACGTATTTCTAAGCACACCTGCAAACAATTGCAGGTTTTTGGAACTATTTGGTTTTGAGGGCCGCAAAAAATCGCCAAACTATTGTTGATGGCAGTGATTCCAAAAATAATTGCGACAGCCCTAACGCAAGAAAGGAAGTATAATAGTAAATAACTATCTAAGATTAATGTTTTAATTTAGATGAAAGGTTAATTTCATATAATACTTTTTTATTATTATAATTTATATAAAAAATCTGATGTATACACCACATGACTTCCTTGTACGGAATATTAAATTATACGCATTTTTTCTTGCATTTCATTTAAACTTATTGGATTGAATTAAATCTACTTCACCGACAGGGCATAAACTACAATAGAATAAATGCATTCTTTAAAATTCTCTCTATTTGTTTACCATAGCGACACTCTGGCGCTAGGTTCACTTAACAGTATTATATTTCATTCATATTATAACTCAAAATGCACAAAATGTATACTATTTAAAGAATTATCTAATCGTTGCGAAATGTTCCATTCAAATACTATAATAAAGCTAGAACGATGTATAAAAGAAATTAAGCAAACAAAACAAAAAAGAAACTTTTCACAGACGATTGAGTATTTCTCATTCAATAAATTCAGTTCTTACTTCGCGACAAGGCAAAAATACATAAAAACTCATAATATATGCATTAAAAATTGCGAAGTAAACCTTAAACACATATTTCCTCAAAAAATTCCAGAAATTATTAAGCATGATTTAATTCGCAATAATAAATGAAGGCGTTATCTGTATTGTTGCGAAGCTTAGTTTCTCTAGATTGGCAACAAATTTACTATTCTGCTGTTTCAAATGTAAACAAACATGTCCGCCATGTTATTTAAAAATTAGGCTTAACCGCACTTAAACAGCTTTTAAATTGTTGATAATTCTACAAATATTGCTTGAAGATTACCTAAAGGCATAAAAACCTTAACCGGAAGATAAGAACAACATAATTCAATCATTTTTAAAGCAAAAAATGGACAATTCCCAAACATAAAAGTGTAAAGAAACTGAGATCACTCTTTCTCAAAATTGGGAGGGGAAAATAGAAGTCCAACCCCTCTTTTTTGGAGTAGGCTATGGCAACCATTGTTCCATGTACTGTGAACACGACAACAACAAGATCTAAACTAAAAATTCGAAGATATTAAGCAGCAGTAGAAATCACATTTACAAGCCTCAGAAAACTCTTGTTACTTAAAACCGAGTCGAAAAACTAGTGACAGCAAATGAATAGCTGTTGTGCCACGGAAAAACAACAATAAATGCACAAATAGAAGCTCACGCTATAGAGGTGATGGTCACTGCCCAAACTCTCTCACTTCCCTTCTAGAACTGGGTATTTAAACATTTCGCCTTAGGTAAAATTTGCATTACTACCAAATATAAATATTCTGGCATTGGCAATTAGCGGAATGAAGGTTTATTGTCAAGAACATAAACTTGAATTAAATCGGTTATTTAAAATAAATATAAATACCATTAACCTAATTTTTGACAATGCGCAGACGCAGAAGTTTAATGGTGTTCAGATCAGAATTTATTTCAGACAATGAGAGAGTTCAACTTTTGCCAATTCCGTTGCCCCAAAAATAACGGTTTTCGGTTCAGTTCCGAATGAATAATTTTATTGTATGTACATTTTTATTTGTAGTAAAAGTATAATTCTATCATAAACAAAAAATGTTTCTATCAAAATTTAGAAGATTTTATTCTCGTTTTAAATATTACACTATGTGGATTGATACAATTAACCATCATGTACGATACGAGGGATGAGCAGAGAACGGTGAGCATGAGCATTGGCATTGTTATCCATTATCAAAATCGCCTTTGACAACTAGGCTCATGATTATGTGTACCCTCGTCGCTTGCCGTTCACATTGTGCACTTGGCCTTGCAGTAATTATGTAAAAAATATGTTTATTTATTTGACATATGAAAATTACCTTTAATTATTAATACATCTTCTAACGTGGTTTCACTGAGATTTCTTCTGCTGTCTCGGAGAATAAATTTCAAACCTGAAAACGTCCTTTCAACGCTAACTTGTGTATATGGAGTAGCCCAAACCACCATTACAATCTTATACAAGTGCGAATTAATTTAATTTTCTTCCCAGAAATCTAAAATATTATGTTTTATATTGAGCCTTCGTACATTGTCAAAATTATTTAAAATGAATTCATTGTCAAATTTCGGTAAAAATAAGGTATATATTTGTTTTTATTGCCAGTTCTTTACTTTTCAAAAATGTCTCTAGATTGTCTTCATTTTCATCGCTTTCAGTAGGAGATTGTGTTTTCTCGTTTACGATTGAAATGGATTAAATTATAAAATATTGATGAGTTGATTACAGTAACAAAATTAATGAAGATATATCGAACCAAAATAATAATAAAATTTTTGTTTTTCGGTTCAGTTCCGGTTTTCGTTCTGACCAAAATAACGGTTTTTTCCGGTTTTCGGTTCAATTCCGCTTCGAAGCCGTGGTAAGAATATAGGGAATCCTAGGCTCGATCCCTTGCGCATGACGTCATGTACAGTTGATTTAGGAAAACTTAGCTGTTTACAGCAACCTGAAACGACTTCTGAAGACTACAAACAATTTGAATCAGCGAGCATTTATCTTTTATTATTATCTCGTATGCATGATAAAAACACACGCGTATAATCCTTTCAAGTGAACAAATGAAAAAATCCTTTTTCAGCCCATTTCAAATAATACATAGTGACTTCAAAAAACCTCGTAATTTATTCTTAGATTGTCTGAGTATAGATTCATAAAACCTAATTCAGATTATAGTAAAAACTAAGTAATTTGCCTGAAACTTCGACAAAGAATAAAGTATCCACATAAAGAAGTAAAAACACAACAATTTTATAAAGTAATACTAAGGCTGTTCGCACATTTTATAGAGGATTTTGATTGTACTTACTTTAATATTTTAATTAAAATTTTTATGTTTTAAATTTGATAACCTTTATGCTTCATTACTTTTCTACACCGCAATTTCCAATACAATACAGCTTTTTTTAGTAGCGGAAGAGGTATTTTATCCCATTCCTCTTGAACAGCTTTGCAAAGTCCAACGAGGGTTGTGGAACAAAATCCGGACAATCCGCATTTCAAGTGTCGAAAAGCGCAAAAATCTGGAGATTTGTTGAGACATTAGGTTATTTCGAAGCAGAAGCCATGAAAAATGAGCAGTGCCCCTGCCGAGACTCGAACCTAGGACCTCTCGAATACGCGCCGAGCGTGCTGACCATTACACCATGAAGGTTGCAAAGAAGGCGGGAGAAAGACCTCATATGCTCCTCCTTTTAAAGGGCGACTGGGAATTAGAGAAATCCTGGTGGTGAAGAATCATCATCCACCAACTTTTTAGTTCAGGCACCAGTAGGTTATTTCGAAACAGAAGCCATCAATGAGCAATTCTCTCGGCAGGATTCGAACCTCGCACCTCTCGAATACGCGCCGAGAGTGCTGATCACGAAGGCATGCTAAGAAGGCGGGAGAAGTACTTTACAGATTTCGTAGGGATATCAAACATGGGTATGGCTATATATATTTGTTGCGTTTTTTTCCAGGAAATTAACAGTAGATTTTGACGTGAGGCTGATTGGTTTGTCTTGATGCAGTTCTATTGATTGATGGCACTGTGGGTAAAGAGAAGGTATTTTATATTTGAAAACTGGTGCAAAATATGTTCCTGATAATACACTGGTGTGAAAAACTTAAGCAACAA